CTCACAAATACAAAAAAAAACCTATATAAAAAATATATATTCAATCATGACGTTGCCAATCATGAACAAAAATAAATGTGAGTATTCGTTATTGCAAACACGCGATGAAATGACTGCTGGAGATTAAGAAGATAAATATTACAAAATTTCATTTCGAAAATTGTTTGAAATACTGAGGATAGTTAATATATTGCACAAATGGCATATAATTCATTTAACGAGGTCCATTTAGCAGAAGTTCTTTCCATCATGTGTTTGCTGTTTTATTAAAAATTTTACAAATGGAAGTTATGACTTTTACAGTGCACTATCAACTGGCTTCTTCGCATTTTTTCATAAAAATGGCAAGCTTTTCCTTTGTTATCAGAATTTATTACATTTTCTCTTTATATTGCTCTTTTTAATTTAATAAAAAATTATTATACATTTAATGCTTGAAGTTATCGATCCAATTACTAATATATTTTTCATTAATTTGTCAGACTGTGATATACATCAAATTTGAAGACATTATCCATTGAAATTATTTAGTTCTATCGACATCATTTGAGACCACACGTATTAATGTATATGTTGGAAAATATAATATAAATTTAAAAAAAATTAATATTTTAATATGAATTACTTACTAAAATGTCAAAATGTAAAAAAAATTTTTTTAACATGATTAACTTAACTAAATTCCTTCAAGTTTGAAGGAATTAATATTGTGCGCTTGAATATAAAGAATATAGTATTGATTGGGACTCAAATAAAATTCAATAATTAGATTTAATTTCTAAGAGATTTTTGAGAGAGAGAAAATAAGTTTGAGAAAGTTACCTTACGCTTTCGCGACGCATACACTCGCACACATGTGTGTTTGTGTGTTTATGTGTATAAAATTATATTATCTAATAAACGTTAGAATTCCTCTCTCTATTCAGGTTGTATCTCGATCGTATTTGCATCTAGTATTCGCCTTTATACTGGATCCATTAATGCGACACAGTGTGTGTATGTGTGACTGAAATGAGCTATACTGTAATTTCCAAGCTAACCTGGATTTAGCGAGCCACATCGTTTGCATCCGATGTTTCGTGTCTGAAAATTATGCAGCAAATAAAATCTTCGTCGTAGTTAATCAACCGTTGTATTGTGTCTTTCCAGCAAAACAGACATGCGATATGAAGAGCATGAAATGTCGATAGCATTATATTTTAATAAAAGGATGATTTCTATTTACTGAATTTCGAGTAGTTAATATTTCCTCATGTGTTCGTAATATGTAAAGTATTAATGATAATTTCAAAAGTACAATATCTTCGATGGGGTAATTTGTTGTATTTTTACATTTGTACATTCGTATACTTTGTGACGCATACAATGTACATATAACGTATACATATAACGATAACGGCTATGAACTCGAGCTTTAGTGTCATGCCCAAAGCAATAAGTCAAGCTGACATATTGGGATATCCTAGATGCGATGTGTTTTCACGCAGCATGTAGGATAATGAACGGTTTCAATGATTCGTGACATGATTGACAGTCCAATTTACCAGAAGCTCAAATGTATTCGATAATGATAGTCAATAATTAATAATTAATATTTATACGATATTATTAATTATTCCATTTAAATATTAATTATTAATTAACATATGGAAATTAAATTAGTTAAAGAAATAGATATATATGATGCTGGATAAAAGACCTAAATAAATCTTTAAATAATGATCTAATAATAACTTAATACTTTATAAACATAAAATGTATGAAAGAAATATTAAAAAATGTTATATAAATTTATAGCAACTTTTCTACATACTTAAAATATTATAATTTCAAATTATTCTTATTTTGTAAATGACATAAAGCACAAAAGAAGATTCATGGATATCAATATGAGCAAAAATAAGCTAATATATTCTCTTTGTTTTATAAATACTTCCATTTAACGCAGCATCGTCTTCCAAGCAATAATTAATTTGCATAAAAATATAACGGATGAGCGGTAAACAACGAATCAGAAGCGTGGCATGCTAGAACGAATCGGCACAATAAACAGGTTTCTCGCTCGTCTGCATCTGAGCAGCTATTAGATAGTATTGTTAATTCATCGTGCGGCTGACATTTCATTTACGAGGGTACAATACCTCAGTGAGGCCAGGTGTATATACGAAGGGATGGTATTATTGCGTATGCGCTTCAGTGATGGAGAAAAAAAATCATTACGCATCCTCGGTTCTTGTCACGTCTCTTCCGTTTGCGCAACAAAAGGAACCGGCATCTTATCCGCGAAATTTCCTTGTCAACATGTTGTATTCTGAATTTTTCGTACAATTTAGCAGTATAACAAAAAATAATATTAACGTTCACGGCAATCGTTCAAGTTTTAATCATTGCTCTTATAAAAATGTTTTATTGATAAAAAAAATACTTATAATTAAATAGGTTGTACGATCGTGAATAAAAAATATTAAAAAACAGAGTAAAACAAGGGAATGGATAAGTAATAAAGCAATCTTTCAAGCAATTAAAACTGATGATGTTGTAATTAACTTATAAACACGTTGCCGGCGGCAGTTAGTTTATTATAGAGTTTGATTTACTTCATATTTCATCATACGATTTATTTTCTCTTCGTTCTTAGACAATTTTCAGTAACACTGAACTTGCAACAAGAATAGCGTGAATTCAATTAAACTGAAATTAATAAAAAAAATTACAAAATTTATTTATAAAATTGATACTGAATATAACATTAAAAATCTTGTTACGCATTGACATTTTTATATTGAAGAAATTTTAAAGATCACAAATTTGATGTAACTTTGAATAAATTAAATTTTAGTGAAAAATTGTTTTTGAAAAATTATAGATATGCGAGACACATACTCGTACTTGTTTTGAGGCTATAAGCATTTTAGTTCGGAGAAACTTCTTGCGGTTGTCTCCACGGGATTGCTTCGTATAAGATTTTCAATCGCAACCTCCTGACTTCGCGCGACGACAGTGCGCTCTGGGACAATGGAGAAGATTGTAAAGAGAGTGACGGAAGTTGAAAGGGGTCAAAAGAGTGTCAGCACTTTTCGGAAGTCATAAAACTTGGGTGTGTGACGCGTATGAGAGTTCGACTTACCTAGATCCGTGCAGCGACAACGCGGCAGGGACAATAGGATGAAGATGGCGATCAGAAGTCCTCGAAGTGGAGTTGAATCGGCGCTGGGACCAAGGACTGGCATGTTACTAGTGACCTGGGCCGTCGGCACGCCGATAACTTGCTCCTCCTCATCACTAACTATCCGCTGTCCTGACCGCATCGGTCATCAAGCACGTTCCTGGCATCGTGATGGTCGCAAGGTGGTTACAGGCTCGTGTCGATGTCCTGAGCACAGAGTAATTCGTGTTAGTTGTCCGCAGACACCTCGGCAATGTTGTGGAGTATGAACGGATGGTATAATGCGAGAGATAATATTTACAGACTTGAAACAAAAATAAACATTAACGGCCATGTCAAGCGTGACTTCCTTCACATACGTTCATTTAATGTAATCATAGCAAACGATTGTGTCCCGTTTCATTGATAAATTTATCTTCGTGCAACGACTCTCCATGAAAACAATGTCGGTTGCTATCGCGAAAATGTATTGTAGCTAGGACGCTACAATGGAATTAACTGCCAAGGTAAATTTACCGGCACGGAATAAAAGAAAGTAACTTTTGCCGTTAAAAAGTGAGGAAGTGTTCTTTTATA